CGTGACCAAGACACCCGCTTCTACGACACTCGCAAGAAGCGGGGGTACTCGTTGGTTGGCGCCAGAAGTTGTCGAAGGAGACCCACCCTCCCAGAAGTCGGATACGTATTCATTTGGCATGACCGTCTTGGAACTCATCACGGGAAAAAGTCCTTTCCCTGAGTACAAGACGGATGCTGCCGTTATACGTGCTCTGATGTCGGGTGCCCAGCCCAAACGTCCCACTGAACCTGCAGATCAGCGCTGGCTCACGGATGATTTGTGGGCTCTAATCGAGCACTGCTTGGCAGCGGCCGATGCTCGCCCGACAATGCAAGCCGTAGTCGACAGCTTGAAAGTTCGTAGCGAATACCAGGGTTCAACTTGATCGTTATGTGCTTCGTCCCCTCCCCCCCTGTTGTTCACCCGTATTTATTTCGTACTCGTTCCTCCTTCTCGTCTTTTCGTGATTCCCTATGCATTCTTCCTACTAGTAATGAACTATGTACTTCTTTGTCTATCCATTCTGAAGTGGAGGCCATCCCACTCTTAAAGTTCGAATGGTACAACATCGGATGAGATATTAAGCTGGTTATCGCATGCCTACAGCTCTACCCAGGCGAATTCGAGAGACTGATGCGGGCGCTAGTTTGGAAATAGGTCAATCTCGAGTCGCATATTCATGCGGCTCATGTAGCATGGGGCGATTCAGCCGTAAGCCACCCTCAGCCAACGCCATAAAACCAGCCTTCAAGATAAACATCGGGGGGAAAAATATCAGTCGCAACTGCTTATGAGTCGACCCAGGTTCGAACTGAGGACCTTCTGTGGCCAACTGAATGTTAGACAGATGCGATAACCAACTACGCCATCAACCCTTGACACTCAGGACATTGGTATTATTCCGGCTCAGGGATTTGCTACTCGCTCGCCAAGTGAAGTAAAGGATTGGTCTCCCAGATAAGTAGCGAGAAGTATGAATGGATTAAAGTATTTAGCGCAAAAGTGACAATGTGAGAACCCAAATACTGAACCGAACGTATTGAACCATGTGCCACCAACAACTGTCTCAAATCCGCTCAAACCCACGTAATCCTCTCATCCCTCACAACCACGTCCAGCTGCAAACCGCCGTCCACTAACTCCTTCAGAACCTCTATTTCACCAGGTTCATAAATAATATCTTCCATGTATATCACAGCCTCTCGAAGGGGTGACTGCGTCTTTTCGCTGACGTGCACGCACGGTGTTCGATCCAGAGATAGAGGGCCGTCTCGACGTGAACGAAGCATCTGAGAAATACCACGGCCAACCAAAACATTAACCCGCAGGATTTGCAAATTCGGAAGCAGATTTTGACGTTCGGGATCCTGAACGAGGGTAAGGACGTCCATGATATCGATGTCCTCTTTTTCTAGCTTGCACGCATCCAGATCGAGTTCACGCAGGAAGCCAAGGCACTCCCACATATCACGCAACTCCCAGATACTGTAGTAGCGCTGAATTTTCAGAACCTCCAGTTTCGAAAGATTGCAGAAGAAATTGCGACGGAAATCGGTGTTGGCCTCGGTGATGGGAGATTCATGGTTCCACGTGAGTGTATGGACCGCGGGTAGGCGAAGAGAATTCCATATGTATGCCTCCCAGTTCCAGAACCCACCAGTCCATTCGAAACTTGTCAAACTGGCCGGGGCGATGTTGACGGTGGCTCCTGGGATCGGGTATATATACCTTGGCTCGGGTAATGGCTCAACACATTCGAATGTTTCGAGATGTGGCGGGAGAAGTTTGAGTAGCCCGACACAATACATGACCATCGACCTCTCCAGCCGAAGCATTGTGAGCTGGTTCCAGAAGGGCTGTCTCGCCGAGAAATCCCCTACGGCATCTAGGATGGTCAAACGGCGGAGATGTGGGGCGTGTTGAAACGTTTCCGAGTGAAATGGGATAACCCTCCCGCCCAGAAAGTGTAGGTGCTCGAGGTTGAGAAACTCGGTCGTTTGGAAGAAGGGATGTGCCATCTTCCACGTTCTTGCATCCCAAGCATCTGATAATTTGAGCTTCAGTGTCCTAATCCTATCTGCTCGCTCCTTCAACACAATTGCCAGTATCCCGTTTATGACTTTGGGTTGAGTTAAGTCCCAACGGTCCATATCGAGCTCAACTGCGACCTTCAATTGCCGCGAATTCTCAAAGAACAGGCGCAAGAGGTGCAAGCAGTTCCCGGTAATCTGTGTTGTCTGTTGCTTGCGCCTCATTGGACGAGGGGCACATCGAATAGTTGTCCATAATTCCGGTGTATCCCAAGCAACTTCTCGCCAACGCGAACATACAGCACCAAGGCGAAGAGGTGTTGCAGCAATCACAAATATCTCAGATAGAATTTCTGGAGGAACTACGCGTGTCGCCGCTCGAAAGTCGTTGAGCTGGCACAGAAGGCTAGAGCGCTCAACTGCTAGCTCGCGGAGACGTGTTTCGATGAGAAAAGTTGGGTCCGACTCTGCGATAGGTGTTCGCATTTCAAGAGGTTGTGAGGCCATGAGATTCGAGAAGAGGGGTAAAGCAATGGGAGGACGGACTTCGAGAAATTCCGGTGTTCGGGTGGGTTAGTACTGAAGTTGGATGATGTATACTGAGGCGAGGTACCCATTGACTGAATGTATTCAGGGTCATGGGGTTATTTTTGGCCAATGGACATTCATTAGCATCGTACAAGAGTCACAAGCAGCTTCCAACGGCCAATGCGATACAGAAAACCAGAGTATAGAGAATGTTTCGACGTTCAGACTTGAGTGAGTGATATAATTTCCCGCAAGAAATTGCATCCTAGTCACTAGAGGGAATAACCGGTACCGTCACTCGAGGGTGTTGACCAGGAGCAAAAGGCACGAAAAGTACAGCACAGAAGGGGAGGAAACTGGTTCAAACCTCTTATCAAGCAAGGTAGGTCGCGGCTCCTGACCGACTTCATTCGGTTTGACTGAACTAGCGCTTCAAGTTGATGATGGACTCCATTGTCAACACGGACATGTGATACACATAACTCAGAAGGCTCTCCTCTGTTCGAATCTGAGCCGGATAAGGATTTCCAGTGAGAGTCCGCTATCAACGCTCTTCAGTGGGTACAGATGTCACTAGCGACTTGAGGGCGGGGCTATATTCTACAGAGCTTCAGCGAATTATACATTATATAACCTAACAAGAACCGTGTTTACAGGGGGTCGGGGCGTTTCTTAACATCTGCACGGCACAGGGGCTCCCAGGTGGAGGTCCCTCCCTCTGGTTTGGAGGGTATGAGCCATGGGCAGCCGATGCTAGACTTTACCCATACAGCTTCGAGCACCCGGCTTGCGATTCCGCCCATACATCCTTTTGAGCATGGACAGCTCTCTTATCCATGTTCAGCTTTGTGGGTGGTAGTCAAGGGGTGGCGTATAGGGATATATGGCTAGACCCACCTTCGTCACTGCCGGAGTTGACGAAATGGAGACCAGTGCCTCTGGGAGAGGCATCAGATGTCCATGTGGGTCTCTACGGCACCGGGGCTTGGTTTCGTGTTCCTGTGGGTATTTCTGTGGTTCCTGTACGGGCCACAGTCCTTGAAGTAGAAATACTAGTCGTCGTGAGTGTGCCGCGATTGAAAACTATTGAACTATGTGGTTGGGGAGGTTGCCAGAATAGCCACGCCTGGAGAAGGTCCTATAAATAATAGTCAGAATAATTAAAGCGATACCGAGAGGTACAACTCCTGCCTTTTGCGTACCAAAAGCAAAGGCAATGAAGATGGAAACTAATGATAACATATGATTATCCTAACCTAAGAAAATCAACACAAGAAACCCACGAGTAGGGTACACAAGGCTCGTCGCATCAGGCATTATAAAAAAGACTGCCAACATAGCAACGCTGTTAAAGTTTCAGCCCACTGATCATCTTCGTTTGGGGGTGGCACACCACCTGACGCACACGAATGCCATCACGGCGGCTAGGGTACATAATATTAACCGAATGTATACTGTGAGGAGCAGTCGGCGGTCTTTTCGGCTGAGACGCTTGAAAACAACCCAGTTCCGGTACATCAAAAAACCTGTCCAGACTATGTAGATGAGCAAAGTTAGTTCAAGGGCCCGGATCTGTCCGTGGAGGCTACCGGATACCTTCCAAGGGGATCAAGATAGCCATAGCGCATATGATTATAGCTGCTGTAACTTGATTCCTGTAGACACAATACATTATTCAGGCACCCATTGCAAGAAATCTCGTTCAGTGCCACTCACGGGACGATGTTGTCAAGATTACAATAGAAATCATGGGTGGCCGCGTCCAGGAGGTGAAGGTGCCCCCCCGGGAAGATGAACTAATTTGATAAGCGTAAACCCCCATGGTCGATGGAAATTTGGCGTACTAAGAGCACTTCAAGGACGATCACCAGAAATACCAACCATGGAGTGATAACGAGCTTGAAAAAAACCACAAAATAATTTAAAAACATGAAAAATCAATCGTTGGTGAATCTTACCCAGAATGTCCTCGAGAAACTAGACTGTCTTGGACTACCAGATCTCAGGCCGGATATTATGAGGTAGAACTGCAATTAGGGTGGCATAGTGAGTATACTTTTCCCATTCCTGAAATGAAGGAACCCGCTTCAATATAATAGCAAAGTGTGCTAACGGCTACTCTGGAAGCACAATGAGATGAGCGCCTGATGGTACCAGTAGAATGGGAAAGGACAACTCACAACGGAGGCACCGCGTAGACTAATGACGTTTGGAAGAGACATAGACCAGATGGTGGCTTAGCAGGCCCTTCCTGTCGACCGACCAACAGCCCATAGCTCAGAGAATAAACCAGCCACGATGTCATCAGGTTGTACCACCCGATACTCCGGTGGATGTTCTTGGAGAAAGCAACTACAGCCAACATGCAGGAGAACAGAGTTACGGCTACCAGAACAATCACATCAAAGAGGACAATGAGGGCACGATTGGAGGACATGACAGCAACGGAGAAGTAGGAAGGCCCACTGAATAGTGAGAGAGGGGAAGACTTAAGGCTAATCGCCTCAGAGGGCGCCACTTATAGTAACGATAGAGTACAGCCATTATTCAGTTGAGAAGGTGAGGCTCCGGCTGATAGTGACCCGAGGCATCGCTGGGGAGTGATGTTCTAGTGGGATGTACCGAGGCGAGGTTCCTATGTGGTGGGCAACGATACCTCCGAGTCCAATATGATGCAGTTAGGGAATTTTGACATCATGAGCTCGCGTATGGGGCCACATGCTAGTCCGGTGGTGAGTGTACTGAGCTGAATGAGCCGACCAGTTTGAATTGTGGGCACTTTAATGGTTGTTGACCAGTGGGATAGAGAATACAATATTGTTCAAGATGGGAATGGGGGCGTTCCGACCTAGATATTGGCAAAGTGATTGATATTGACGTATGAGGGTGTCCAGGTTGGTGCCGTCCCCGCTAAACCACGTTGGTATTCTTACGAGGGAGGTCACTATCTCCGAACTACTTGCCACCAAATCAGTATATATATAGCAGCCAACACGCGGTAGACTATATAATCATTAGCATAGCAACGCGAGACCGAGGTACTCAAGGGGATGAGCTGCAAGTGGGACGGAGGGACGTTCCCGTGAGAATCTTCATAGCCGTTGGGTGTTGTGGATATAAGGCGGTAGTGGGCGGCGCACTTGGTGGCGACTTGATAGCATCTAGTTTCTCAGCCTGGCGTTGCTCCTCGGGACTTGATGAATATATCTTACTGCTAGATTCAACAAACTACCCAACCCAAAAAAAGACTCAAAAACAATGAGAGTTCAAGCTTGAAAGCAAATTTAGCTGCTAGGAGAGACGCGATATTGTGGAAC